ACGCCTCGAAGCATGGTCCCACTGCACCATACCGAGTTCCGTTCCAGCAGGATCAAGGGATCGAAAAACGCTCTTGCCAGCCCTTTGTGAGGGGCTCCCAGTGGCAGCCAGGCAGAGATTGACCCCAGAAGGAAAAACCACTCCCAGAAAACAGACACATGGAAACCCAGCCTGAGCAGAGGCAAGCTGGTCGCAGGAGGTCACTGCTCCTTGGTTAGTATTCTGTTGTTCCTCTTCCCTGCACTGCTTCCAAAAAGCCCTTGGATCAACCTTTGATCCCCGCAGCAGAGGCAAAGGCAACTCTGAACCCATCTCCCTTACCGCTAAGGACAGGCAAATGCTTCTAGTATTTTCTCCTTTGTTATAGGGGTTGGAAAAGGGCAAAGCCAAAACTGTAGTAGTTTGAAGATTCACACTGGTGTATGTAAGTCTGACTGGGTGCATTGACCTGTGGCAACCCACAGCGACTCTGGGACCCTTTTTATGCTTGCTGACTCAGAATTTTTTCATATCTTTTACTCTTTTAAGTGTGCTTCAGTTTGTTTAGCAAAGTCACTCTCTTGAATCACATTAACTTTTGAGATTACAACAATAAAAACCTCCATAGCACAGCTGTCTTTATGCAAGCAAGAGCTCACCTACTCCAGAATGATCTGTCATCTAAAGACTTGAACACAAAAAACTTACTTATAGCCAATGGATAATCAGAGTGCTAATTTCCACTAATTAAGACAAACTTTCAAGAGGTTATGCTAAGTCTGGAACTTTCAAACCTTGCTCTGTATGAACTGTACTTTTTGGACATGAGCTGCACATTTATTTTCTAATGCAGAGGGTGAATAATTAATCTAAGCTTCGAGGATAGACGCAGGCATTCTGCTAGGCACCACATTATAATCTGCTTATTTTACAATATATGGTTTCAGTAAGAACTCATGGCAGAGATGTGAGGGAAGAATATTACATAACATGCTGAAGAGGAGGAAGAGGAAAAAGAAAAGGAGGAAGTGAAGAAGGAAGAGGAGGGTAGTGTTTTTATAAAATAGAAACAAGCAAGCAGAATTTCAATTCTATTAAATTTGTTCAAATTTCCCTGTCCTTTCAGTTAACATCATCTTATTAAACTTACACCACAAGGAAGCAGAGCTTTGAGCACTGTCCAGTGTTGAAACATGGGTGCATGACCATTACCAGGCCTGGAAATACCTAGTTTGTGGAGAGACTGCTTCTTGGTCTCCTTCCCATGTTCCTATAAAACCCCCACTATGAGGTACAAGAGTTCTGTCAAAGGAAAGGGAGCTGAAATATGAAGAAAAAAAAGTATGGGCCTATTAGTAGTAAGTATGAAGAGATAATACTGCAATGATTTTGGGGTGACTCTGCAGAACGGTCCCTTTTGGTAAATATAGATCAACAAAACACGTGGGTGTGACCAGGCCACTGACCTGTGGACATCAGTAGCTGACCACTAAGTAGTTTGTATCTGGTATCTGCAATGACCTAAACCACCACGTCCATTCTATGCCACTTACCGGAATGCCACATGACCAGAAAAAATAAACAGTTTTCATAGTTCAAAAACAAAAACAAACCTCAAATGAAGGGAGTTATCAGTGATCATGGGGAAAATGTTTACGTATTTTCCTTCAGAAATACTGCTTTCTGACAATTTTATCTGACATTTAAAACAGGCTCACTCTAGTTTATCCATATGCTACATATGGGGTGCAAAGGCAGGGTGCCCAACTGCACACGATCTCTGCATTTCATCCTGCACATGTTCACTTCCATTTCAGCAGCAGGTTCTCCTGCAGCAGGCACAGGTCACAGCTGACTCCACCTTCCAGAACAACTGCCATCACTAGCAAGGTAACGGTAATATATATTATATTATATATATATATATATATAATGTAGTTATATTAGTGGATCTATCAAGAGAATTGGAGAATTGCTTTTAACATTAGTGACAGGGAGCAGTCCAGAGCTAAAAAGCAAAGTGTTTCCCCAGGGAAAACACATTAGAAAAAAATAAAAACCACTTTCTACCTGTTTCAGATGTTTGAAAATATTATTTTAAACCAAATTTTAATTTCTGTGTCCAAAATAAGACTTAAGGACATCTGTTCTTCCATGTGAAATAGGTTAGGCTGCCTGTTTATTCCTGAACTCATGGGATGGTCCATAGGATGCTCTGCACACTTCTTTTTGGCGAGTGGGGAGTTTAAGGTTGCCTAGCAACTTTCTAACTTGTAAAACCTCAGCTTTCCCTTGCAGAAGGAAATGAAAGAAAACAAAATCAAGTGGGTGAAAGACAATCTCTATTGTTTCAGGACTAACTCTCTATGTGGGTTTTGGCACACACTTAGGTGGTTATAAACACAGCAACTTGTTTTGAAAAGTGCAAAATCCCCGAAACAGTTGCTACTTGCCCTTTCAAGTTGTTGACAGACATAAATTGGGTATCCTCATGTTATAGTAAAATAACATATAAATTCAAGGCTTTTTGTTTTTTGTGATAAATCCTGTTTTACAATGTCGCAAAAAAGAAACCAGCATTCTCATCAGATTTACTATATCAAGATATGTTTCAAATAGGTCTACTAGAGTCCATGGGACACGAAAACTATGAAACCATTACTTTCTGTATTAAAGGACCTTGAAGTTAACTTACAAAAATCCAAATGCAGGATAGTAATTTTGTTTACTTTGTAACCAAACTGAATTTTTGAAACACTGTCACGGGTGATTAAAAAGAAAGAAAAGCTGTTTTACCTAATTCTGTAAGCAGCTGTTATTCATGGAAAATATAATAGTTTTAGAGTTAAAATATCTCCTCCTTTTGGTTAGAAAAGAAGAAAGCCCTTCACTATTGTGGAGTGATGTCCAGCTTTGAGCTTCACATCACACTTCTTTTGAGAATTATATTGGGCAGTTATAATAACAGAAGGCAATTAGTTTGTCGGTTCACAGATAGATTTAGCACAGTACTCATCACCCTGGCTAGATCAAGATGTTCTTTCACAGCAGATGAATAATGGTCTGTAACACTGTAAGATGTTGATATTTACAACTGTTTAATCATTTCTATTTTTGTATAATATTAGTGACCTAAGTTATTTTGCAGTCTTGTTTTTGTAAATCCAATGAAATTATAAGAGGATTATGGCAGTAAGTTTTTGTACATATGTATATGTGTTATCCAAATAAAATAATGTTTTAAAAAAAGATGTATGTAATTTGGAAAAAGTAAATAAAATAGAAGATATGAAATAAGATATATTTTATCAAGTGAAAAATTAAATACTATGTACAATGCACAGCTATATAAAATATAAGCAAATTATACATTATAATTCAAAAAATTAATATTTATAAAATTCTTGCAAAGAAGAAAACTCATCACATTTTTGATTTTTTTAATTTAATTTAAGCTACTGACTGATGCCTATTTTAGATCTGAAGACAAAGTAAAGCAACAGACTCAGAAAGACAAGGAGTGTGTGTTCTCTCCCACTTGTGGCTCTTGTCTCCAAATCCTTACATGTGAGTAGATATCCTTATGTAACTGTGGGAGCCTGGAAAAGGGAAAGTAACCATTGAGGTAAAGGGAATGAAGGAGACCAAGAGAGGCTAGTAGGAGGTAATAGGAGATGGGTGTTACAAAGGGAGAAATGGGAAAATTGGGGCTATTTAACAGGGAACCGAGAAGGGAGGGTTATACAAGGAACCATGAACTCAAAAGGGAAGAAGGAGCTCAGGAGACACGGGATGATAGGACATAGGTATTATCAAGGGATAGTGGGGAAACTGGGTGTATTTTAATTAGGGCAGGAAGATTAGACAGGGAGAGAGAAGAGAGATAAAGCTTAGGTGGTGTGAAAAACCAGAAGGAAATATATTAGTTCAAAATTTATAGAAAAATACACATACAATATCTGTACATGAGCAGATGTGTATTTTTGGACTATCTGACAAGAAGCATAGTGCAGGACAAGAGAAACCTTCCTTTGTGTTGTTGGTCAGGTAGTCCAAGAGACTCCCAAAGTCACACAGGCTATTGGCACAGCCCTTGATTTCCTCCAAGAACTTGAAGTTATGTACATGTGCATTCTGATGTCCATGGAGGCCAGGGTGCGATGTTGGATTCTCTGGAGCTGGAGTGACATGTTGTGAACTGCCTGATACAGGTGCTGAAAACTGAACTCTGATTCTCTACAAGAGCAGCAAGTACTCTTAACCACAGAGCCATCTATCCAGCCCCAGATCTGAACATTCTTGACAAGCAATATGCAGAAGCAGAGTGCAGAGTTCTAACAACACTACTGGTGAAATCTTTGCAAACCAACAATGAGAAGCCATGTAATCAGACAACTAAATGCTGAACTTATATTGATGGGAAGTTCTTTACCTCGTTAGTAGCTCCTGGAATGTAACATCTATTCTTTCTTTCCTCTTAACCTTCACCTATTCTTATGAACAAGATAAATGCTTCCAAATGAATGCTTGTTGAACAAACAAATCCCTAGGGAAAGTTTGTACATTTCGGTCATGGGAATCATGAAAGGCGGCTTATAGCTGAACACCTATATTATTTGCCCCTGTTCCAGTTTCATTTTCTGGTTTATTTTACTTAATCTTCCAAACTCATTAAGTAGAAACTATAGGGATTGGTGTGGTGACCCATGCCTGTAATTCTAGCAGTCAAGAATTTGAGATCAGACAACTGTGAGTTAAAGGCCTACATAGAATACGTAGTGAACGCAAAGCTAGTCTGATGTGTTCAGAAAGACTGTATCCAAAACAAAAAGACAGAATAAAGGAAGGAAAGGAAGGCCATTTTCTCTGTTGTCTCTACTTTATAAAAGGAATGCTAGAGTTCAATAAGGTTAATTAATTGCATATTACATCATGGAAAATGTGCAGCTGACTCCAAACTAAAAGCTTGATTTGTTTGATTTCAAGTCTATTTTTTTCATCAAGCATTATTGTCACTATATCTAAGAAGAGAAAATTCTCCTATGACTGAGGAGCCTCTTTAGGGCCCCCTTCATGTCCTTGTTCCTTAGGCTATAGATAAAGGGGTTCAACATGGGAGTCACCACTGTATACACTGCAGCAGCTACGACATCCTTCTCTGTGGAGTCTACAGAAGAAGGGCACAGGTAGGCACTGAAGAGGGTCCCATAGAATAGACAGACTACACAGAGATGGGAACTACATGTGGAAAAGGCCTTTGTGCCCCCACCAGGTGTTCGAATCCTCAGAATGGTGAATACAATGTGAATGTAGGAGATAGTAATGCACATAAAAGGCACCATGAGTACTGTGCCTCCTAAGGCAAAAACCATTAACTCATTTATACGAGTGTCAGAACATGATAGTTTCAGGACAGGAGTGATATCACAGAAAAAGTGAGCTATTTTCCCAATGACACAGAAAGACAGTCGAGCCATGAGGAGGGTGTGAGTCAGAGCAACTATGTTGGTGAGGACCCAGCACAATGCAAGCACGAAGGCACAGGCCCTGGGGCTCATGATCGTGGAGTAGTGGAGAGGGCGGCAGATGGCCACATAGCGGTCATAGGCCATCACAGCCAGGAAGAAGCTGTCTAGATCACCAAACATCAGGAAGAAGTACATTTGGATGAGACAACCAGTATAGGAGATGGTATGGTGCTGAGTCTGCACATTGAACAGCATCTTGGTCACTGTGGAGGATGTTAAACCCATGTCAACAAAAGACAGATTGGCTAAAAAGAAGTACATAGGCATGTGAAGGCGTGCATCAGAGCCAATGGCCAGGATGATGAGCACGTTCCCAGCCAAGGTGACAAGATACATACACAGGAAAAGTCCAAAGAATAACTGTTGATGTTCTGGAAACTCAGATAGTCCTCGTAAGAAAAATTCAGAGACACTGGATTGGTTTTCCATGACTCTACAGCACCTGGATTTTAGAGAAGACAGAGTGCAGGATTTATCAAAACTGCAGACACTGACGTCTTTCAACTCCCACATCAGATTTCAGTTCACTACTACCCAAATCGAAACATTTCCATCTGTACAACCTTACTTTTCTCAAACCTCTCCTGAAAAATCTCATATTTTCCACCTTCCCTCTCTTTCCCTCAGTTCGATCTTTTATATAAGAAGTACTCTTCCAATAAGGCTCCTGGCACGATCATCTCTACTACTATCAAAACTTAGCCTAGGTTTATAACTTAATATCAGTTCCATTATTTCAGTATAGGATATCTTCATGAATATGCTGAAATGAGGTAAATTATACATTCTTATGTAAACATGCACACAGCTTCTTTTCCTTTAATACTTAAATGACACTAGGATACAGAGGTTATTATTAATAAAACTGAGGCTAGAGATGTGTGAGTGGTTTTCACAAGGACCCACAGCTCATTAATATTTGATACCAAATACAAACAAATAGCTTCATAATCAAGAGGTTACATAATTATTCAATATATAGAAAGAAAATTTCTATCACTATGTTTATATTTAATGCATGATGATCCCTAATTTAACATATTTTTGGACACTGGTCCTTACTGGGATTTTTCTTCTTGTCATTTGTAAGGTGACATTGAAGTTCAAGGACTGGATGGAACTTAAAGTTCATCTGGTGCAGAGATTTCCACCCATTGGTCTACAGGCAAGTTTATAAAACAATTTCAGATGCTTGTTTAAAAATATAGAATTCATAGCTATTTACATATATAACATGGCCTATAGAGTCTGATTTGTGTCCCTAAATGTCCTTCAATGTGGGCCCATCCACTGGGCTCACCAAAAGTCCCATCCCTACAAGACACTGTTTTTCCCCCTCCTAACAGTCATCAGTTGGCAAGAGTTCCTTGGGTTGGGCAGAGGTGAGGTAAGGATATGGGAGGGGAACCTAAGTATCATCAAACTATGTTGTATGAAAATCTCAAAACTTCAATAAAACAACAAAAAAATATATAAAGTTCTGTTTCCCACCTCAGAACTGTGGGACTTAAATTCTCAAGGTTACGACCTCAAACCTTAGGTGTTTTTATGCTCAACGGGGATTAAGAAACATTTAGCCCAATAGTTTTCTTTGATTCATAGATAAACAGGCTAAAAATGAATAACATTATTGAAAAATAAAATGACTGAAAATGCTTTTGCTATAGCTTGAAGGAAAATATGTTCTAAAATCTAGAGTATTCGGTTTTCTATTTCTAATCTTCATTAATCACAGTTCTGATGTGTATATTTTATCTAACATGAAAAGATTTACTGACGTTTGGGTCATGTTTTGAAGTAAAAGTTCAGACTTTCATAAGAGTATTATCTGAGATCTATTACATATTTGTCAGACTTCAGGGACTGGCACATTAAAATAACCACTTGCTGAAGGGAAAGCAACTCTCCTAAGTCCCAATGGAGCTTTAATTTCTTCAAGAGAAGGGAGGATACAGACTGACAACTCCGTGATTACCTGACTTCCAGACTCTATCTTCGGCACGGAAGCCCATTCACGTCCATCCCATTCATGTCCATTGAATCTTTCGAAGGGACTGTATGCTATTTTAGGGAAGAACAGTCTTTTATTACCTATGTCAGCATACTATGCATTGATCAGTCTATTGCTATGACAATAAATAGCATGAGTGTGTTCTCCAGCTCCTTTAAGTAAATTCTCTCCAGAGTAAGACTATTTTCTTATGCTTATTTAGTATTTTTCTATTTCATTGTGTGTGTGTGTGTGTGTGTGTGTGTGTGTGTGTGATGACACGTTGAGGTCAGAGAACAGCCTATGGAAGTAGATTCTCTGCTTCCAACATATGGTTTCTAAAGATTGAACTCAGATTTTCAGACTTGGCAGCAGGGACCCTTACCACTGAATCATCTCACTGGTCCTGTAAAACTATTTTTTAACCTTTTGTCTTTTCATTTTTCTACTACAAGTACCCTTGGCAGGTGTTTCTTGCTCCATCTCTCAGCTTCTCATTTTCTGAAAAGTTTTATCATCTTTCATGGTTTCTGGAACCTCAAAAAATTCAATATATCTTTGAAACACCAATAAGATGCTTCCAGAAACTTGGGTCATCCTTTGCCTTCTGTCATTCAAGATTAAGCATCCTCTTTACTTACCAGCTCTGCCTCTTCATCTGCTGTGTCAGTCAACAATAAGAGATGGTTTGACATGAGAACACGAGCACTTCAAGACAGAGACCTGCCAGTCTGCAACAGGTTTAGTCCGGTTTCCGTGCTCACTGCTATGCTATTTATTAGAAGAAGGCAATGCAAATGTCTTTGTTTATGGAGAAGAGCTCAAAGTTTTCCTGAGAAGATTTTTGATGGTATTAACTGGATTAGGGTTCCAAATAAAGGATACTAAATACAAAAAACTACACCGAGGCAAAAGTCAAATTATGTGACTGATATTAAAAATAATTTAGTTACTAGAGAGATGGCTCAATGGTGAAGAACAGTAGCTACACTTGCAGAGGCCCCAGGTTCAATTCCTAAAACCAACATGGTGGCTAGCAACCTTCTGTAACTCCAGTTCCAGGGGATCTGATGCCTTCTTCTGACTGCCAGGCACAATGTATGACATGGGTATACTTACATACATTCAGGCAATATGCTCCTACACATAATTATTTTTAAACTTTAAAAAATAAAAGCAGTTTAGAGGGGACAAAGACTTGGAGAAAAGTGGATTAGGATTGTAGGAGTCCAAAAAGTAAGCACAAGACTGAAAATATAAGCCAAGGTCAAATTTGAATGAGCAGATGGAAGCAGTCATAGCTACTTTCATTGGCTTGAAGAGAGAAATATAGGAACATGAGTTTCTTTGCTAAAAAACTTACAGTGGCTCAAGACAAAGAGTATTCTAACTCCATCTGAACCAGATCTTGAGAAATTCTGAAGTGTTTTATGTTTTCAGTGTGAAATCTGAACTGAGAGAAACAGAACTTCTGTCCCATCAGGCTAATTCCAGAGACCTAAATAGGCTCCACTTTGAACATCTACCGATCCCAGAGTCAAGGGACAGAGTGCCCTAGAGCCTTGTTAGTGAAAACATAATTATCTGATTCCCCCTCTGTCTTTATTATAATAGACCAAATTAATGCGGCTCTGGGTTCCTCCAAAGTTGAGGTACTTTGCTTCCTTCCTTATGTGGTAACATCAAATAATTTTACTATTTGTATTCATTGGTAATGACAGTCTATGAGAAAAATGCACTTTCTATTAAAATTAATATCTTGCCTCAAGAAACTGTTTGCATAGGACATTTGCACATAAAAATCACTTATTTAATTTCAGTCATCTAATTAAACTTTACAAGTGTTTTTTAAGAGACATAGTAGTAAGAATTCTGAAATTGAAAGCCAGATAAAGTGGTGAGCCTGAACATTTCCTTCAGCTTGACTAAATTTTGGACACACACTTTTCCCAGTTACAGGTTCTCTCTTATTATATTTACTTTAAAATTTTTGCAAGTTTTCAAACATAATTAATTGACGTCATCATTTCTTCCATCATTTTTCCCATCATTCATTAACTCATTTAGTCTTATTCATTTATTTGTTAATTTTGCTTTTAACAATTTCATGCATGTATATGATATATTCTAATTACCCTATCTTCCCATCTTCTTTTATCTTAGTTTCCTGTAAAATTTCCTTCCTCCCTACCTGTCTCTTTCTCAGATACATGACTTTTCACTTTATTTTGTGACCCATTTTAGTTTTTAACCACTGGGGTCATAAGTGGATACAAAACTGAAGGCAATGATTCTTCCTCTTCCAGAATTTCTCACTAGCAAATAGCTTAGCAGGGGGCATAGGGGCCTCTAAGCTCCCTTTACATCTATGCCTAACTATAGATAGGCCCACTTTTGCGAAGACTCAGTGTTAAGTGTCTGAAATTCCTGTGGTTCATAATGGCCATGGCTGTGTCTTGCCCCATAGATGGCGAACAGTTCCTTATCTTCTCTCTCTTACATTCTTTCCATTGCCTCTTCCTCAGTGTTCCCTGAGCCTTAGAGGGGATGGTATAAATGTTTTGTTTGGGGCTGAGCACTCATCCATCACTTATTCTCAGTATTTTTTACAACTGTAAGTTTCTACATTCACCATCATTCATTAGAAAGAGAGGTTTCTCCATTTAAGACTGAGATTATTATTTGTCTATGTGTATAAACAGAAGGTACTTTGATGTTCTATCAATTTATCTAAACAACAGTATTTAATTCCCTCACTGCCAGTGTCTATGATCTCCTTCAGTATGATTTTTTGACCATGTTTATAGAACTGAGCATAAGTTTTCTTCTGTGTGTCAGACCTCAAATCCAATAAGAGAGCAGTTGTTCATCCCCCTAACAGTAATGCCTCTATTACACAAGGGAACACATCTTGCCTGGCAGGTTGGTTTCACAGTTCATATGATTTACAGTTGGTTAATACCATTAATGTCTTCTCCCTTCCCACAGAAGCCTGCATAGCACCTTACAGCCCTATGAAAGCTAGAGGTCAGGGAGGAAGTTTGTAATTTAGTTCCAGCTTGATTTCCATGTCATGCAATCAAAGTGTGTAGTGTTTTCACTGATAGGGACTTATCATCTACTTCTGGTGGACAGCCAAGAAAAATATCAAATTGTTTTAGGGTTCTCTGGGGCTCCCATAACCAAGAACTCATATGGAGGCATCCTGTACCTGACACTGGGGGTTTTGTTTAATAACCCAGAGCTCTTAGGATCAGCTTTAACCGGCTATACAAGCTAGCTCCCTTTAAAATCCTGTTTATAAACTATGTTTTTAAAATTTAGTTGCAAGATAGTTGGTTTCCATGTGGCCTTTTATACTACATTTTTCCACTACCACTTCATCTATCCTATCCCCTACGCATTCCTGCTTAAAACTTTCCCACTCCAACTATTCCCC